ATCCCACAATCACACAAGAAACGAGCATTAAGAGGCCGTCTTTAAGGGAAAAATTGGCCACCAGGGCTCTGCCGAGTCTGGCCAACCACACACACTGCCTGCCCGTGGCCCATCCACGGCCTCCCTGGAGGGGCCGCCCTGAGCCCGCGGGTTGGGCAATCAGTCCGGGAGCTGGAAGGCGTATCCGGACGCAGACACATGTTTGAGGCCAGCGAGCCTCCCAATGAGACCACAACTGGAAAGGCCAAGTGGCTGGAGCTGGGAGCTCCGGGCCCATCCCAGGTGAGAGATGATCTTGGCTGCCTCTTTCCACCAGCTGTTTGTCAGAATTTCCGGGAAAACTCGCTTCCTAATTCCTTCTCTCATCTCTTCCTCCCATAAGACATCTTCAGTTCTCCACCTGAAAGGGTGTCAACAACGTCCTCCTCCAATGGAGGCTCCCCAGGCAGCCGGGAACTAGGACAGGAGCGTGTCTGCAGGAGGAGGGCACGGAGAAGGAACAGAGGGACCTCGAGGCAGCCCCAGGCCCTCCGCACAACTGTGCAGTAAGCTCCCGGTCTGTCTGGAAGGGAACAGGTGACGGGATTGGGCAAGGTGAGAAGTGGAGCCCCACTTCCCTCCTGAGTCCCTAAGAGAGAACAAAGGAGGGGGAAGCAGCCACGGAGAAGAGGAAAGGACGGATGAGGGAGAGGAACAGAGAACGGAAAGCCAGCAAACCAACAGGCCGTCAGGATGGGGTCCAGGATCGTGAACTGAAGTGTAAAGACTCACTCTGCGCTCAAGCCCCAGCCCAGCACTGGCTGTTCCAGAACGTGGCCGTGGGCTCACCCCGTGCGCTATGTGGCCCTCTGTAAGGTGAGTGGCAGCAATAACGGAACCTGCACCTCGTGTGGCCCTCAGGAGTCACAAAGCAATGTATGCCAGGCGCCCCGCTCAGTTCAGTGCCCGCACGTAGCACATGCTCAGTAACTGTTAGGGTAAGAGTTCCGCAGACGCTGTAAAGAAGTGTCCTGCCGAGGTCTGTTATCATTAGCGAAGGCAAGGAAGCCACAGCCCAGAGAAGGGCTGGGGTGAGAGTGACGCTGGGAGGAAGTTCTTTCAACAGCTTCCAGCTGGAGGGCCACACGCCTCAGGCATAAATGGAGGCAGAGGGCTGCTCAGCCGTCAGCGGTGACGACTCTGGCCTTGGGTCCACCAAGCCTCCCCAGTGCATGGGCATCGCCGGAAGCTGGAAGGAAGACCTCAAACCCGTAGTGGTGGGGCTACGGCTGCCAGAAGCCCCAGCCTCTCCACACTGAGCCGTGGCTGCCCAGCACAGACCCAAGCACAGCAGAAAGGGCACCTGCTCAGAATCAGACACCAAGTTTGAAGCCCAGCTCTGCCCCTCCCCCGCACACACCCAAGAGAAGCCCGGGCGCTGACTCAGAGCCCCCTGCCCGGGCACATGGCTCCGGGTGCCTCTGCACAGCCAGTAGCTGGGTGCCCTGACCCCAGCCCAACACAGAGGCACCACAGACAGGCCAGCCCCACGTCCAGACTTTCCATGGAAACAGGGAGGCTCCACAGCCCCAAATGCCCCAGGCAATGCCCCCCTCCCCCCAGTATCCCTCCAAGGACAATGAGGCACTGTTTTCCAGAGGGTCAAGACTGCTGAGAAGCTACAGGAAGACATGTCCAGATTCCAGAGGCAACTGGGCATTGCCAACAGCTGGCTGCTCCGGGAGAGGGGCAGGCAAAGCTATGGGCCTGCGCTGGACCGCCCTCTGCCACAGGGGCATGTCCCGGGGTGGCCTCCAGCAGAACTTTTAAAGGTAACTAGTACCACTCAGCTGGCCCTGGTCAGTCACAGATCACACCTATGGCCTTACTGGGGTTAAAGTGACCAGACTGCCCAGCCCTCAGTGGTTGAGAGTCGGGAGGTCGAGATTTGATTCCCGGTCAGGTTCAATCCCCAGTAGGGGGTATACAGAAGGAAGCCGATCGATGATTCTCTCTCATCATTGGTGCCTCTATCTCTCTCTCCCTTCCTCTCTGAGAAAATAAATAAAAAGATAAAATGACCAGATCCAGAACTGGATCAGTCCAGGCTCCAATCCCGGCTCCCCCAAGGACTTCCCCAGAGCTCGGTTTCCACGTCTGCACACACAGATAACACACCCCCTGCCGGAAAGGCCATGAGGAACCTCACAGAGGCCGAGCCCGCGCCTGTCTCCACCGAGCAGAGGTGATCCTTAGTGACCACAACTGTGGTCACACCCCCCTCCCTCCCACATGGGGAAAGCAAGGAGTCGGGTCAGACAGCGCAATCAGAGGCTCCGAGCTCTCCGTGCTGGGGAACTCTGTCCAGGAAACTCCGGCCAGAGAACAGGGCAACTCCCGGCCAAACCAGCATCCAAACAGTAATGAGGAAAGCCACCGGCAGCCACCGCACTGCACAGCGCCCAGCACTCACAGGGAAAGCTGTGTTTATGTTTTCCTGCCCGAAGAGCGATAAATTGGTAACTTATTAAATAGCACATGGCCAGTCCGTCACCACAGCTATGGGGAGGGGAGAGTCCCCCAGTTTAAGACCAAAAGCAAAGTCCCAGCCCAGACCCCTGCCCCTAAGGCTCCTCACAGGACAGACCCTAAGCTCTCCCCGTTGGGGGGGGGGGAGGGCCAGGAGGCTCACAGCTGAGGGCAGGCTCAGGAGGAAAATAACAGCGAGTGAGTGAGGCGAGGCCTGGCCCCCGGGCTGCCCTAACTAAGGAAACAGCTGACGGGCAGGGCTGAGCAGTCAGCCAGACAGCTGACGGCCAGAGCCCAGAGGCAAATTCCTCTCCCCTCCAGCTCGCCCAGCCTGCCCGCCCCCCCCCCCCCCACTCTGGTCCGCCAGGCGGGCGGCCCCTGGGAGCTTAGGCCAAGGAGGCTGGGCAGCCAGGATCCAAACTGGGAGCTGGGGTGGACAGCAGAAGCTACAGGTGGCTGCCATCATCCCACCACGACCTCCCTCCCCCACAGCTCACCCCCCTGGGAGGACAGAGCTGCAGGTCTGGGCGCTGGGGCTGGGCTCTAGTCCTGGCTCTGTCCCTCTGTCCCACCAGCGGCTGTGCAGCCTTGGGCAAGTGGTTCCACCTCTCTTAGTTCCCTCAATTAGAGAAGGGCAGGGGGTGGTGACAGAGTGGCCCTGGGGCTCTGTGCAAAGGGCTGCTGGGAGGACAGGACAGCTGAGGCCGGGAGGACTCCACGCACAGCACGTTTAAAGCCCACACCTGGCCGGGCACCCTTTCCTCTCCGAGACCACCCCGCGCCGGGCCTCCACGGAGGACTCAGGAGACAGGAGCTGCGGACTTTGACCGCAAACTCTCCAAGGCGGACTCCGTCCTCGGAGCAGCAGGGACGAGCAGGAGCAGAGCCACATCAGCACCTTAGGCCTCTGCCTGCTCCCGTCCCGGGGAAAGCCTGGTTACAAAAGTATCCCCAGCCTCCTCTAAAGCTTCCTTACTTTTATGTGAAAAAAAAATACCTGCCTGGAGGCCATGCCAACCTTGAGTGTGTGGGGAAAATGGGTGCCAAGTCTGACCCAAGGGCAGAACTATGCTTGGCAGCCAGCGCCCACTGCTCAACAGGCAGGACTGGACACCATCCCCAGCGCCGGGATGGGGGGGGGGGGTGTGACCCCAAAGGAAGCTGCCAGGAAGTAGTAAGGTCCCAGTCCTCCTCCCTGTGCCCTTGAAGTCCCCCCAGTGCACAGCCAGTCTTGGTGCCCTGTGCCCTGGGGGCCGTCACTTAGGGGGGATGAATCTGCCCCTCCCAGCCTGGGACAGAGGAAGCAGCAATGGCCATACAAGGCACCCACAGTCCAGAGCGGGAAGACAAGGCCCCTACAGAGAGAAACTTCCCCCTCGGCACCTCCCGGCTCAGAGGCCCTCCAGCCTCTGCGTGAAGGGGAGGGAGCATGCAGCCTCCCACCCCGGGGTGCTCCCACCCCGGGCATTCCTGGAGCCCTGGCACCAGCCCCTCGGGCCGAGTGTCTGGTTCCAGGAGACACTTTCTCCCGCTTCACAGGAGTGAGGAGAGGAGCGCAGGAGCTCCATTAACAGGAGAACAGTGCGACTCTGTCCGGCGCCCTGTCCTCCTTTCCCGTGTGGCTCCCTGCAGGTCTGCGGCCAGGCGGCCAGGTGGCGGGACCCTGCCAGCCGGGACAGGTTCAAAGCTGGCCATGCCTGGAGGCCCACTTCCCCCCTTCCCCTGGCCTCTCACCGGCGTCTGGGAGGGGGGGGCCGACTCAGTCTCCCCAGTTCACCCTTCTAGGATGAGGCTGGTGTCTGTATGCCGGTAAAGGGGCCGGCTGGGACCCACAGGAGTGACCGGTCCATGAGACAGGGTGGCCAGACCTGAAGTGGGGGGGTCAGTGGGACGCATGGGAAACTTGTCTTTGTGGGGGGAGGCTCATCTCTAACTTGGGGGTCTGACATGAAAGGGCTGGGCTCGAAGAGGCTGCCCCTGAAGGGGGAGCGGTCCTGGGGTGGGGAGCACGCCCCGGAACGGAGGGACCGACCGGCTTGTGGGGTTCGGCAGCTGTCCCCCGAATTGGGCGGTGGGTCTGGGCGGTGGGGGTGGGGGAGCGGTCTGTGAGCCGGGGGTCCCCTCGCTGGGGAGGCGGTCCTGCCCCCCGGCAGGGAGGGTCCTGCCCCTGGAGCGGCTGGCCGGGGCGGGTCCCTGAGGCGCAGGCTGGTCCCTGGGGCCGGGCGGGGAGGTGCGGGTGGGTCCCCGAGGGCCCGGCCGGGAGGTGGGGTCGTCCCCGAGGCGGGGGTGGCGCTGTGAGGCCGGCGAGGCGCGGGGCCGGCCTGGTCGGGCTCAGGCCCGGCCCGGGATCCCCGCCCGCGGAGCGCCGGCCGCCAGGGACCCGGCGGGGATCGGCCACCGGGTGGGATCCCGGGCCGCCGCTCGCTCGCGCCCGCCCGCCCGCCCCGGGCCGCGCGCCCTCCGCCGCCTCCGCCCCGGCCCCGCTCACTCACCCAGGTCGTCCATGGCGGGGCCGCGAGCGCCGGGAACCGGCCGGACGTCCCGCTCGCTGCCGTCCGGGGCCGCCGCTCTCCGCCCGCAACTTTTCCGCCGGAGCCTCGGCCGGAACGGAACGCGCCGCCGCCGCCGCGCGCGCCCGCGCCCGGCCGTCCCCGCGGACACGCGCGCCCCGCCCCCGCGCGCGCCAGCCCCGCCCCGCGCGCCCCTGGCCCCGCCCCGAGCGCCCCTTGGCCCCGCCCCGAGTACGCCGGCCCTGCCCCCTCCGGGACCGCGGCGCGCGCCTCGCCGGATGGTGGGCGGCGCTGGGCGGGGCGGCGGCGCCCCCTCGCGGCCCAGGCGGCAGGTGGGTGGCGCCCAGACCTTCGAGCCCTCCTGTCCGTCTTTCTGTCTGTCTCCAAGTCACATGCCCCCCGCCTGTCTTGCTATCTCAGTCTGATCTGTGTCTGTCCGTCCACCAGACACTCATCGCATGCCTGTCCGGGAGAGTCAGGTTGGTCTGTCTGTCTTTCTCCCCGTAGGTCCCCTCCCAGGGAGCCCTAAACCCGCACCAGGCAAGGGAGCGGGGCCTTCGGAGGACCCTTCCTGGGGCTCCCCTCTGGGTCCCTGACATGTAACTGGAAGCCCAGCCTGTGGGGCAGACTCAGTACCTCCCAGGTTCTGTATCTCAATCTCTCACATGGCCCCTCTTCCAGAGGGAGACTTCTGAATCTGCAGGGAGCAGGAGGGACCCCACTTTAGACACGAAAAGAAAAACTACAAAGAGGTTACACCCAGGGCCAGGCACAGTGTCTGGAACACCCCACTGCCACTCCAGAGGGCTCTCTCCCACAGATTCAGAAATCAAGTAATAATAACAACTACCATTTACTAAGTGACAGATACTACATGGCTATTATCTAAATTAATACTCATAAAGGTAGTTATTACTATCAGCCCTTCCCCACATTTTGGCACTGAGCAATTGGGGCTTGCACCACCAGCGGGTGCAAGCAGGGTCGGCGCCATCAGTGGATGCGAACCAAAGCTGCCGGCTCTGATCACCCCTCAGGAGCAGGGGGAGGTGGAGAAGCCTTCAGGGGCGATCAGAGCTGGCAGCTACTGCTTGCACCTGCTGATGGTACCAGGTGGGACTGCAGTGCAGGCAGCAAAAAAATTTCAGTAACCACCAGAGGTTTGCCCCGATGAAGGTGACTGGCATCCTGCCTTGGTTTAGCGCCTCTGCTCACCTGCTCCACCATCCCACTGTGCACACCCCCTGGTGGTCAACACGCATCATAGCAACCAGTTGTTCAGTTGTTCCGCCATTTGATCTATTTGCATATTAGAGTTTTATATAGAGAGACTAGAGGCCTGGTGCACGAAATTCGTGCATGGGGGCAGGGGGACGGGTGTCCCTCCGCCCAGCCTGCAGCCTCTCCAATCTGGGACCCCTCGAGGGATGTCCAACTGCCCAGGCAATCGGACATCCCTCTCACAATCCAGGACTACTGGCTCCCAACTGCTTGCTTGCCTGCCTTCCTGATTGCCCCAAACCGCTTCTGCCTGCCAGCCTGATCACCCCCTAACCACTCCCATGCCAGCCTGATTAATGTCTAACTGCTCCCCAGCCAGCCTGTTTGCCCCAACTTCCCTCCTCTGCCGGCCTGATCACCCCTAACTGCCCTCCCCTGCAGGGTTGATCACCTCCAACTGCCCTTCTTTGCAGGCCTGGTGCCTCCCAACTGCCCTCCCCTGCTGGCCATCTTGTGGTGGCCATCTTGTGTCCACATGGGTGCAGGATCTTTGACCACATGGGGGCAACAATCTTGTGTGTTGGAGTGATGGTCAATCTGCATATTACTCTTTTATTAGATAGGATACTCTGCAGCCCTAGCCAGTTTGGCTCAGTGGATAGAGCCATCAGCCTTGCAGACTGAAGGGTCCAGGATTCCATTCCGGTCAAGGGCACATACCTCAGTTGCAGGCTCCTCCCCAGCCCAAGCCCTAGTCAAGGCTCATGCAGGAGGCAACCAATCCATGTGTTTCTCTCACATTATGTTTCTCTCTGTCTTTCCCTTTCCTTCCCACCCTCTAAAAATCACTGGAAAAATATCCTCAGGTGAGGATTTAAAAAAACACAGCTTCCAGCTCTTCTTCCCCCAGGAATCCAGCCCCCAAGACCCTCTGTGTCAGGCCAGTCCTCCAGGAAGCAGATGCTGAGAGAGTTGCCTGTGAATGAGAAAAGGGAAGAAGCAGGACGGGGTAAAGAGAGACTCAGATCTGACAAAGCCAGGCCAACGCCACCGGGAGCTCCAGAAAACTGTCATGAGAGGAGTCCCCATCGCGCAGTGTCCAGGCCCCTCTTCCCACCATGTCCACCATGGGCTGGGGGTGCCAGAGCAGGTGGTCTGTGTCTGGAAACTGTCATTCGTCCAGCTGGATAACAAACTCTTTTTGGAAGGCAGAACCAAGAGGTTCAACTCTGTAGCTCCACATCCACTTACATTAAGATCAAGAGCCCAGCCCTAGCCACTTTAGCTCAGTGGAGAGAGGGTTGGCCTGCAGACTGAAGGGTCCCAGGTTCGATTCAGTCAAGGGCAAATGTCTGGGTTGCGGGCTTGATCCCCAGTAAGGAGCATGCAGGAGGCAGCTGATCAATGAGTCACTCTCATCATTGATGTTTCTATCTCTCTCTCCCTCACCCTTCCTCTCTGAAATCAATAAAATATATATCTATTTTAAAAGTGTGGGGTACTTGCCGGGACCGGTTTGGCTCAGTGGATAGAGCGTCGGCCTGTGGACTGAAGGGCCCCGGGTTTGATTCCAGTCAAGGGCATGTACTGTGGTTGCGGGCACATCCCCAGTAGGAGGTGTGCAGGAGGCAGCTGATCGATGATTCTTTCTCATCGATGTTTCTAGCTCTCTATCCCTCTCTCTTCCTCTCTGTGAAAAATCAATAAAATATATTTAAAAAAATAAATAAATAAAAGTGTGGGGTACAGGTTGAGTACACAGATCCACTCAGGTTCAAGCCCCAACTTGCTGGTGGTAAATTTCAGGTGGTTACTCTCTATGCTTCAGTTTCCTCCTCTATAGAAAAAAGATTAATAAAAGCCACCTCTTGCTGAAACCGATTTGGCTCAGTAGATAGAGCGTCGGCCTTTGGACTGAAGGGTCCCGAGTTCGATTCCGGTCAGGGGCATGTACCTTGATTGTGGGTGCATCACTGGTGGAGGGTGTGCAGGGGGCAGCTGATTGATGTTTCTAACTCTCTGTCCTCCCTTCCTTTCTGTAAAAAATCAATGAAATATATATATATATATATATATATATATATATATATATATATATTTTAAAAAGCCACCTTTCACATAGCAGTAAAGGAGATGCTATGCATTTAGGACTTAGGATAATCCTTGTCACTAATAAGCATTCTTGACTCATTGCTATTCACTAGAAACAAAACACAAATTACATATGTAGTAGCCACATTTATTTTTAAAAATATATTTTTATTGATTTCAGAGAGGATGGTATAGGGAGAAAGAGATAGAAACATTAATGATTGAGAGAGAACCATCAATCAGCTACCTCCTGCATGCCTAACACTCGGGATCGGGTCTGCAACCCAGGCATCTGCCCTTGACCAGAATGGAACCAGGGACCCTTCAGTCCACAGGCCGACACTCTGTCCACTGAGCCAAACCGGCTAGGGATGTTTTAAAAAGGGAAAAAGAAATAGGAAAGATTAATGTTCATATATTTTATCTAATTCATTATATCCTAAATGGTATCATTTGTACTTGTAACCAATATTTTTTAAAAAATCAATGAGGCACTCACTTTTTTTTTTGTACCAGGTCTTTGAAATTTGGTGTGTGTTGGACACTTATAACACTTTCCAGTTTGACTAGCCACATTCCAAGTGTGAATTAGCCACATGTGGCTAGTGGTTACCACACTGGACAGTTTTAAATATTATCTGGCATCATTGTTTTGGGGGATTTCAACCTAAAAGCTATTTTCTCAGAAAATCATTTCCTAACCTGCTAAGCCAGTGGTCTGCAAACTCATAAGTCAACAGAGTCAAATATCAACAGTACAACGATTGAAATTTCTTTTGAGAGCCAAATTTTTTTAACTTAAACTTCTAATGCCACTTCTTCAAAATAGACTTGCCCAAGCTGTGGTATTTTGTGGAAGAGCCACACTCAAGGGGCCAAAGAGCCGCATGTGGCTTAAGAGCCAAAGTTTGCAGACCACGGTGCTAGGCTATATCAGGGCTCCTGTTATTAAGATCTTTACTTAGCAACCTGAAGCACTTGTCATAATGACAATTAAATAGTTCTTATGCACTTGTTTGCCTCTGTTCATCTTCTACTAGACTTTATTATATATATATATGTGATTTTTTTTTCAGAGAGGAAGGGAGAGGGAGAGATAGAAACATTAATTATGAGAATCATTGATTGGCTGCCTCCTACAGGCCTCCTACTGGGGATCGAGCCCAAAACCTGGGCACCAGGACCCTTCAGTCCGCAGGCCGACGGTCTATCCACTGAGCCACACTTGCTAGGGTGTTCTTCTACCAGACTTTAGACTTCAGAAAGGCAAAGGCCATATCTGTCTTATTCACTGTTCTACCCCAGTGCCTGGTATAGGACACAGCACATAGCAGCTGCTCAATAAAAATATGCTATGTGAATAACATTTATTAAGTACTACCTAATGAATTAAGGTTCGAGCTGCATTAATTGATGCTGGAAAGAAAGAGGGGATTAAGATAAGAAAAGGAAAAGGATTTAGAGTAATAAACCCCAGAGCTTAGAATATAGATGTAGAAATGTTCTTTACAAAAGCAACAATCGGTCCTTGTAGAAAGATAATTAGAGATGGGAAAAAAGAAGATAAACTCAGAGATAAAAGTCCACAATCCAAAAACCTGAATGCCCAGTTGTACAGTCTTCTAGACCATGGTGTTACACACATACGCACACATATAAGCATCTATATCACATATACAAAAT